AGAAAGAAAGAAAGACAAAAAGATCACAAATAAAGTACTGTAACATTTTTTCACAAATAATAATTAATCAAAACTTAAATGTTAGCCTAATGGGTTAAAATGCCAGTAGACTGATTAATTATCGCTTTTGTTATGTTGTTTGTACTTTATTAGGTTATCACTGTCATTATTATTATTATTATTTTGATAATTATTATTATCGTTTTAAATGCAAGTTTATGCTGAATGTATCAGTAGTGAAGAAATGTAACGCCAATGTAACAGAACACATTTTGACTGAAACAGGGTGTTAACCTGAAAGGGATGCGGAATTCCATGCGGTAACTCACCAAACAAGAGCAGAAAATAAGACAAAAATCATAATTTCAAATATAGAAAAAAGTTCCTATATGGTCCTATATGGTAGATATACAAGACTGGCTAACTTGAAGAATTATAACTCACACAAGGTTCAAAGACTTGATAACAATCACCGTCGGACAGGGCTATCAAACGAGACCTCCCACCTGCAATTCTTGCCACACTGATTAAAATGAGCTTCAGTCTGAGAATGTGTTCAAAGGTAAAACATAATTTATAATAACAAAAAATTGAATAACTATTTTGTTCGAAAATAGGGGCTAAAACAATTTTGCCAAGTACAGCTTGTGGTTGAGCACCGTTCAAAGACGTCCAGACTGAAGGAAAACAGTAATGTTGCTGGTTGTCCGAACGTTACCACTGGCAGGCTACAAAATTATGTCATGACAAAAGACTCACAGAAAGACGTCATCATAAATCTTTTTCGTTCTGAAGGGGATAAAATTTAGGGTGGATTCATTTGCAACATACGCGTATAATCCGCCCTTAAGTTGTGTTATAGCTTAAAAAATAAAACATCAATAATAATCATAATCATAATCAGAGATAATAAAACATCATCCCTGAATGCTAAAAGAGATTTCTTTTATACCGAAAGGTTGACCGGTAGTTTGTGCACATTTTCACCGAGTCGTCTTAACAATTTATTTTTATTTTTCAGTTACTGCGATGACGATTTTTGAATCTTCAAACTGGACGTTTCGTTGATTGCTTAAGGTGGCTCGACTGAATTTTTTAGGGAGGATACCTCCCAGGTTTGAGCATTAACTACGTCGGCATGAGTAAAGATATGGGGAAAATGATACCACAACTGTAATCTATAAAGAAGAAAATTTCCTAAGATCTGGGTTTTATTGCAATCGGAGTCGCCATGGCTACGTAATGACGCTATTGCGTTTTTTATTTATCTTTGTCTTTCTCTGCACCAGGAGTTTTTTTTTTTTTTTAAGAAATCGCTTAAGGAAGTTTACCTGCCATAATTGCTCCAATTTTGGCGAAGTTTGAACAAATTCTATGTGAGCGTTTTGGACATATTTTAAAACGAATTTTAAAAAGACGATGTAATAGCATGTTATCGACACAATCAGCTAATATTATAGGAAAATGATAAGCTTTGTTAATGCGCCTTCATCTCATAGTGGTTTGATTCCATTGAAAAATGTCTACAAAAAAAGAGGGGAATTTCTCTGGGCGATCGCCAGTAAGAAGAATTTTATTAACCTGCATGCATTCACCTGCTTTTGTTACAGTTTTTGCGCGTAATTTGACCCATGCCTACAAATTTCGCATTATGCAAAAACCGCTGGATAATTTTTTTATAAACTTGACAATCTCGAAATCATTTGTCAGTAAATTTACGCTGCAAGTTTCAAGAACATTCAAAACAGGAAAGGCGTTTAAATAGGGCCTCCAATATAACCAATTTTTCCCTGAGATTTTGAGCTTACCAGGGAGCGTCCCCATTATTCACTTGCGAGTTAGCCGGAGTAATGCTCAGACGTGGGAGGTATCCCCCCTAAAAAATCCAGTCGAGCCACCTTAACCAAAGGGAACAAACAAAAACTGTTCTACTTTTTGTGAGAGCTTTCCTTAGGAATTGTTGAAATTAACAGGCTTGGGAAAGGCACTTTTTTTTCTTAACTGTTCCTTTTTTTGCTAATAATTTCAGTTTCTGCTTCTTGTTCTGGCTGGTTTGATCCTGCAAAATGCCTCAACCATGGGTAAACCACAGCATCTGCAAAACAATGGTGGCACGGAAGAGGCTTTCAGATCAAGGATATAAACACCAGAGACCAAACCGCTTTAAGGACATCTCGCAGTCGTATCCCTCATATGCATGTTCAGCTAAACAAACCCGGCTTCGTCAAGTACTTGCGTGAAGGAGTGGCATTATTGGCCAATGTATGACATACTCCAGGCGCAATGTGAAATTTTTAGTTAAGGCAGCTGTTTTTCTCTCTGTAAACCAGTTTTTGCATATATAGAGGATATTACACGGTGGCGAGAAGATATGAATTTTATGTTCGAGTGGCAACAACAATATCTCACGAGTGAGCGAAGCGAACGAGTGAGATATTGTTTTTGCCACGAGAACATAAAATTCATATCTTCGAGCCAACGTGTAATGTTCTTTTTATTATATGGAGAAACCATTTCAACAAAAGCAAAAGGCGGGAATCGAGACGTCATTGAACGATACGACACTCACAAAGATGACATACGGAAAATACGCCACTCGGGTCCCGGATGAAGTGGCGTATGGAATCTACGAGTGGTTTAGTTCCCAGTAAAACACTCTCCTCCATATAATAAAAACACATATCCTCACCCAGGAACGAAACAATAACAGTGAGGTATAAAAAGAATTGCACTTGTGCTAGGCAGATCTAATATTAACACTCATCGATTTATTTTAACATTCAGGTTATACAGGATCTAAATAAAAATAGAATACTTCATGGTAATTGCGCGCGTACCCAATTTACATACAAGTTGATGACGTGTATTAGACAGGTTTTCCTCATATTAACGGGGCCTTTTTCAATTTAGTTGCAAAAAATGGGAACATTAACAACGTTATATGACTCAAATTCTACTTCTAAAACGAGAATAAAGACAGTGTCATGAAAGAGTCATCCCATGATCTGTAATGAGGTGTTCCGTATTGATTGATTACGATTTCATGAGGCGATAACAAACAAAAGTCATACATTAAAGTTCATTTTATTCTTCTGGGCAAGATTTTAATTTCATACAGCAAGATCCAGCCCGTTAGGCCACGTTTCGAAATTATACTATAAGTACAGCATGTAGCATCAGATCATAAAGTTTTATGAAACGTACAGTACAACTGATCAGTTACGAACAATCAGTAGTTATCAAAAGCAGCGTGCTTAACACCTCACTGCACCTACACTCATAATGCTCATACGAGGATTGTACCAAAATGCCAGCTTCTTACATGAAAAACCAGCCCTTAACGGACCAATAAAAAGGCCAACTTTGGATCAAAATATACCTGAGGTATTAAAGGGGCTGGTGACAGTTTTATCGTGAGGGGAGTCCAGCATGAGAGATTGTCGAGAGATTCACATAGCACTGCAAAACTAGCGGTGCGCAGTTTTTCGTGCAAAGGTTAGTTTTAACCTGTTTAAAATATATTGTAATTTCCGTTTACCAAATCCCTCACTATTTTTTTTCATCCAAATTCACGAGTTGTGGCACCTAAAATGTAGGACTGTATAATCCTCGAAAGATAAGTTGTTGTGGTTACTGCTAATTTTCGCACAAGTACTACTGCTATTGCCTAAGCCAGCTTTTTGTACGGTCCTTTCAAAGGTCCTTAGGAAAATAAATTTCAAAATCCCAAAATGGGTATCACCCCCTTAAGTGCAACTTAAAGCGACCAATCCACACAATCGGTCACTCAATTGTCATTTACATGTACATTTCTAGGTCAAAATCTGTTAACTGTTTTAACATAGAAGTGTAAGAAAATGTTAACAAAATAAAAAATATAAACAAAATGACAAACAAAACAAATTTATAATATTAATTAAGCAGAATTACAAGACACTATTAACACGGAAAATAATGTCTATACCCCTACGAGGTAAGGTCATTGAATGATTGGGTGTGGGGTGCGAGTAATTTTTGGAAAGCAAGCTTTTTTCCCCTTAGTAGGTCATAACCCGGAACAAATGGCACTACAGTAAATTACTGAATTGGTTGTATTTCGTTTTGGTTTAAATAAGTTTATCCTTTTTTTTTTGGTTTGTTTTGTTTTGTTTGTTTTGTTGTTGTTGTTTTTTTAATAATTTCTCCTGTTCTTAAGACGTAGCAAAATTACGAGACAAGTTGCATGCAAGAAAAATTGCCTCGCGTTTTTTTTTTTGTTTTGTTTTCGCTTTCTTTTGTTTGTTTTTACGTGTCGGTAAAACGCCGTCTGGGGTCGAGATCCATTGTTCTTTTGCTTCATTTTCTCCTGTTTAAATACTCACAACCTGCTGGCGTTTACTAATTGTTTTGTTCGTTTGTTTTTATATAAAGGTGTAACTTGAACAATGCCAAACCAACGATTTATGCACGCGTTGTTGATGGACCACCAGTATACACGTAGAGTGAGAGGCGAGTTGCATTAGTTGATGGTTAAAATTCTAATATCTGGGTCAGTAGATATCAAAGTGATAACTTTTCTCTCTAGATCATTCAATTATCTTTACTTATGAACAGTTTCAATGTTTATCAGGGGCGGATCTAGCAGGGGGTGCACCACTAAGGAACAGCGTAACTGACTGGTGATGTAAACAAATTTTGATACAGAACACCAGTTGTATTTCATAGAAAGCTGTAGGTCATCTCATGGGGGGGGGGTGGTTCTCCATCTCGTACACCCTCCCCCTAGATCTGCCCCTGGTTATGTTATAAACAGTTTCAAATTGAAGCATTTTGGTTTCCAATGAAATAATACTATCTGTTGTCCTGAAACTTTATATATACATGAACAGGTAGTAACTTGGAATTTGCCAATACTTGACATGCAAATATCAACAACATGCTCATGCAGTACCTTTGAGCGTATAACATACACTTTTACTTTTTCGAAACTCTACTTCCATTTAAAAAAGCCTTTATTTTGTAGCCTGTTGAAAATATTTTACTCTGAATTTCTGTACCAGAGCCATTTGATGGATGCAAAAATTACAACCAATACCACTACAGTCACCGCTAAAACAAGGATTTCCCAAGGTACATGCATCTGAGTTTTTCTGGCCTGCAAACCTGAAAATAAGCAACATAACGCCATTGGTGCTGATGGCAAAGTTGCATGCGACCCTGGAATTTAAATTGAAATAATCAACAGCTGTAAATGCTGTGCTTCTTTTTACATGCCTCAGGGGAAAAAAGTTAAACTAACAAGATGACTAAAAATTCAAATACTACGTGATCGAGATACCTGTCGTAGGTGTTGGGGGTATTTTTGGAGAGGGCAATCTCGTAAGAACGTGTTGCGGGTGCTCTTCATTGATGCCTTGGGTAGAAACAATATTTGCTTCAGCAGTAGTATTTATTTCTGTGGAATAAACAAAAATGACAGTGAAAAGTATGAAAGGGATGAAAGTATGCACTTATGTGCAGTCACTCCAAAAATGAAATAATTGACACACATTGATATTATGGATTGGCTAGAGTAAGGGTTGTCGTGCTAGGACTTGGTTGCTTTGCTAGCCTGTATGTACACAGATGTTGTTTTATTTTTTTTTTCAATAATCAGCGAGTACGCGAGAAAGAAATTGCCCCATGTAAGGGAATCCAAGACAGTCTTGGATTCTGGATTCCACGCTGTTGGTTCAGGATTCCATAACTATCATCATCATCATCATCATCAATCTTTATTTATACACGAAATCGTATCATTTTACATGGTCTTCCTAGGAATCGTGTTTAAAACTAGACTAAAATACTCTAGGGAACTATTGACTATAATGTTAAAAATACAAAAACTACTGGATTACACATCTTTTTTCAGTGAAACTTTGATTCTGCATTCCAATTGTTAGTGGGACTCGGGATTCCTATAGCTGTATTTCAGATTCCAAAGCCCAGGATTCCGGATCCCACAAGCAAAAAATTAATTTCAAAGATTCCGGAATCCAGATTTCCTGACATGGAGAGAAACTAAAATATTCTTCTTCCCCTCCCCCCCCCCCCCCCCCTTGCACTAGCGGTCATTTAATTGCACACTGTTTTTATTTTTATCATGTGTGCTCAGTGGAGTACTTTTAAGAGAAAATAGAGGTCTGTGAACAGGCTACCGCTTTGCCAAGTGGGGTGGCATGGGAGGTGGGGGCAATGAGGGGTAAAACTGTTGTTATTGCATTCTTTGTTGGGACAGTTTTAGACTAGTGACTTCATTTGAGTAGGACATCACAGTTTTCACAACATTTGTACCGATGACCCAATGGCATGCTTGGGTTAACAATGTAATTAATGAATTTTAATAATATTTATAGTAGTTACATGAAGTACAGCTGTTGTGTTAGTGTACATGAACACGTAAGCTGTGCTTCTATTTCTATCCCTAAGAAAAATATTGAAATAAAAAATGACAAGAAATTCAAATAATACTAAATTGAGATACCTGTTTTAGGTGTGAGGTGACTCTGGGTACCAGAGGTTTTTCTCGTGTGTGGCGGGAATTTTCGATGTTGGCCGAGACACATCTTTGGCCGTAGGCATGCCAGAAGCCACGAGTGGGTCACTATTAAGACTTGACAGAAACCGCAAACCGTGCTAGAAAAGTCTCTGGCACCCAGGGTAGGTATGAGGTGCATATAAAATTGTTACAGGTCAAAACTAAATTTGGTTAAAAATTTTTAACCCAACTGTAGGTATTGCTGGTTTTCAGTGTCACGCGATTCAAAATAGATAAAAATCAAAATCAAAACCACTCAATTATAAAAGTCCAGAATCTGGGAAATGAAGGGAGGTAAATTAAAATATGCAAGGAACCTCGCCAAGATTCAGGTCAGAGGAATATTTCGTATACGAGATATCTGAAGAAATGTTTTGCCAATATTTTATGCAACTTAATTATTATTAAACCTCTATTTCATAATTATACGAGATATCCAAAGAAATGTTTTGCCAATATTTTATGTGACTTAATTATTATTAAACATCTAAGGTTTCTTATTCAAATTATATTTATACTGAAACTCACTTACTTATGCTAAATGACAGAGGCTCTGGATCCTCTGGTGGCATTCTTCCATTCATGTAATACCGGACTACATAATGTCCTTGAATATAAGCTGATGATCCACTTTTAAATATTATCTGGAAATGGCTTCCATTTGTGAACAGCATTTGGACATGCTTTATGTTCTTTTCTTTGTCTTTTTTATTTTCGGGGTTTATGTATATAGTTTTGTTGTTCTTGGGCAGTGCTAAGATCTTATTGCCATCTTTAAACAGTGCCAGCTCATAGTCTGCTTTCATCCTTTTGGCTACAATTTGGAATGTCTGATTTACATTCACTGATAAAAAATTGAAAGGAAAAAATAATTATTATATGTAACAATTTACAACAAATAAAAGATAATCTTTTCTAATTAAGGTAAAACCAATATTTCTATACAAACTGTACATGACTATAGATTCACTACAGTAATATTTCCAAGGCAGTACTCTAGCAGTGCACCATGGCCCCTGCAACTCCTGTACCTATTAACTCTTGCTCCTGGGCCACAAGAATTAATCTTAGTTTTGTCATTGTGGATTTCACAGATTCAGAGAACTAGTTGACCGCTTCAATTTTTCTTGGCACACAACCTCAATTAATTTCTTTCTTTTAATTTCCAGCTTAAGCAGCCCTAATTTAATTCCTAGGACACAATCAACATTAATTAAACTGAAATTCTGGTCCAACCTGATAATGCATGGTACACTATAATCTCTATTATTAAATGTATAGGTGGCCTGGTGTGTATCAATAATTTATATATTCTGTAAACACACAATCTGTGTTACTGTGCATGCACATATACAATGTATATAAGTATTACACATAGATCAGTAATGTACCAGGAACAGGAAACTTGGTATTTAACTCAATGATCCTGCTGACAAAAATCAGCACACACCTTTAAGCTTAACTGACACAACAAAAAGACATAATTTTTAACCCATTCGCCCCCGGAGATTTTGCCGAAAAATGCGTTTTGAAGTGACAGCTGTAGTGAAGCAGTTTTCTGGTCAGTCTGTTGTGCTATTAAGAGCTACAACTTGCCACAAAGTCATTTACGGGTCGTACGACACTTTGCGGCCTTCTCATCCAGATGAAAAACACTAGCTTAATGCGAAGTTCGGGCATGCGCAGAAAGCAAAATTTGAGTTTTTGGGTTTAGAAGTGACACATGGCAGCAGCCTCACAATCGGTCTACTTTTAATTTTCGCTTTTTACTGTCCTCCCTCTTTTTTCACTTTTCTTTTTTTCTTTTGCTGGGCATTTAGTTTAAGGCTTTATTTTTGTGGGAAAAGTTTTTAGGAAAGGTTTTAGGATCTAAGGATTAGATAAAAGGAAAGTTTTAGGTGGGTAGTACAGGAAAAGGATTTTCATGGCAATTTTCGGGCCAACGTTACATGAGTTTTTGCCTTTTTCTCTGTTGTCACTGACTGAGTTGTGCTGATTCTGGTATGGTTTGAAAGATCCCAGCTTCACTATGCACATGTTAGCAGACAAAGTTGTCCCATTAAAACTGACGTCACAAGCAGTAGAAGGGACGTGGATCCATGCCGGTGGTTACGGGTGGCTCATGATCATGATCAGGGGTGAATACATGTTAATAAAGAAAAATAACTTCTTTGATGCAAACTGGTTATAATTATGTCATTGTCACAGCTCAGTGTCAGTCAGTGATCAGAGTCAAAGTCACTGATGCTTTCAATATCAGACAAGGCCTGGGCCTCAGCTGAGGTGGTAGTGAACCAGAAATGTAGGCTTTAATTATAGCAACTTCAGAGAATCGCTTATCTGACTTGACTGTTTCATGCAAAACTAGCTTTGCCTCTCTCCTTGATAAACTTACTAATGTTGCATTTAAAATTATTAATGTCTTCCTTCCCAATAGTCACATCCATGCTATATAATTTTATCAAGGTTGACTCTCGGGAACACTTTTTGCATAACACTTGCTTTTGAATTTTCCATTCTGGCTATATAACTTTCATTTGATATGATATACCTTTCCTTTTGTTTTGCTCCCTCTTTCGAGCTTTGGAGATGGATGGCTTGTAGACCAAGCCCTTGAATGTGCTCTGTAACTCATTAAGATTTTCATCAACTAAAAATTGGGGCATAAATAATGAAACATTCTGACCAAACTCATTAATATTGTTTATAGTAACAGAATTAAAGTCATGGTCAATAGATTTTCCAGGAGAAAGTCACCTACCACTCTTATCAAAAAAGCCCCTTAATCCATGGATACCAAAACAGTACTTCAACGTTATTAACCCATTCGCTCCTGGAGATTTTGCCCAAAAACGCGTTTTGAGGCTAGTCAAGTGGTTTTCTGGTCACTGTCGTGCTATAAAGAGCTAAAACTTTAATACCACAAACCGGTTTACAGGTTGTACACTTGGCGGCCTTCTGATCCAGATGTGTGAAGTTCGGGCATGCGCAGAAAGCAAAATTTCGAGATAGTTTTGGGGTTTAAAAGTGACACAGCAGTCTTGACTTTTACTTTTCGCTTTCTCTCCTCCCTTCTTTTTTCGCTTTTCTTGCCTCATTTTTTTTTTCTCTTGCTGGGCATTTAGTAGGCTTTATTTTGGTGGGAAGAGTTTTTAGGAAAGCTTTTAGGATCTTAGGATTAGGTGAAAGGAAAGGTAGGTGGGCAATGGAACAAGATTTTCATGGAGATTTTCAGGTCCTTGTCACGTGGTTTTTTGCTTCTTTCTCGGGTGTCCTTGACTGAATTGTGCTCATTCTGGTATGGTTTGAAAGATCTCTTCACTCTGCACAAGTTAGCGAAGAAAGTTGTCCTTGACCGTTAAAACTGATGACGTCACAAAGGGTAGAAAGGACCTGGATCCGCACGGGCGGTTACGGGCGGTTCAGGGGCGAATGGGTTAATCAAAAAACCTAAAAGTGGCCTTTACCAACTTTTTCACCTGATTTTACATGAAATAGACAGATTTGGTTGTTTTATGCTGAAAAGTGGATTTTTTTCAAAAAGCTTGGTACTCTGCTTAAAGCTTGTCTACTTCAGATTTCAAGGTAGAGAGCTGGGCCTTAATGTTCACAGCCGAAATATCAGAGAACGAAATAACTTTCCTTAGTTGATACAATAGTTTTGAAAGGTTAGCAATTCACAGAGAAATCCATCTTCGACATCAAAACCACTTTAAGCTGACTGAAACCTTTCAGTAATACACACAACTGTACACACTTTACCTCGATCGTGCCACCCTTGGGGGGTAAAAAGAGGCTTCGTTAAAGGTGAAGCAATAAGACTGCTTAGAATAAACTCCTCAAAAAAGACATTGATGAGTGTGTTAATTGGCATAATTGCGAATTTTAAACAACGCCTCGAAACATGCGGGTATCCTAAACAAGATATAGAAAGGGACTTGTCAGAGGTCAACTTTGACCATGCAAAGATAATTGGTGCTAAAACAAAAGCAAAAAAGTAAAGAGAGAATATTGCCTAGCTCTTGTTACAACATTCACCCAGCAGTGCAAGATCTTAAAAGACATTGATGGCAATTAACTGGAGTCTTATAGAAAATCAGCCTCTGCTGAAAACAATTATTTTTGAAAGACCTCCAATCACATCCTACAAAAGAGATAAATCTCTGAAAGACATGCTTGTAAGAGCAAAAATGTAACTCAAAGGCATTTGATAATGCGTCGCAACCACAAAAAAACACATTGGGTCTGTCTTTGACTTCCTTCCAAATGTTTTTTTTGTTGTTGTTGTTTCAGATACTGCTGGAATTTGGGGATGCAAGTAACTTGGATGAAAATGACTCAAAACACAGTGAAAGTGAAGAGGAAGGTGATTTGCCAGTGTAGGAGACAGGCTAAACTGTTACGGTAGAAGAGTGGGTAATTGGAGGTTTCTTTATACTAGCTAAAAGATGTGTGTGAAGGACCAACGTTATACCTACAATCCATGTTAGGAGGAGGTGGTTGGGGGGGAGGGGGGGTGGTCACTATGAATATTTAAATTCTTCTTAGGGCAGGGTCACATCATTTAACCAAAAATATAAAGGGAGGGCCACGATGATTTACATTCATGCTCATAGTGATTCCTCCAGCCCACCTCCCCCCCTCTCCCTCTTCTAAAAAATGAATGCTGCCTATAAATAGTGCTGCTAGTGACCAAAAAAAGGCTCGTTCGGCTCCAGCATTTTCAGCAGAATTTCTGGGGTGGAATGGGTTGAGATTGACATGTACATTGTACATGCATATGAATTAAGCTAATTGAATCATGTAAAATAACAGTATGTAATAAATTTCAGCTACATGTACCAATGAATGTCTGAATAGTGGCATTGTTGCTGTTAGGTGGAGGTGTTCTGGCTCCATCATACCCCGAGTAGCCTGCAAGAAAATAAAATTAATGAAAAGCAAGTTGTATTTTTAAATAACAAATACTGTTCTTTTAGCTGGACCCTTATTATAAAATAATGTGATAGGACAAGCTTTTACACAGTAATACTATTTAAACACATTTACTTGAACTTTTGTTTGTTTGTTTATCCTACTACAAGTATATGCTTAAAGTAATGCTTGACCGAGCTAAGCTAAGCTTATATTTTTATTACTCCTTAAATGTTAACCCTAAGAAGGTAGAAACATTAGTCACGTCAAATTTAACAAATGATAGACACCTACATATTTATTATGTAATAATTATTAATAGAAATAATTAAGCACCTTACATGTAACAGTAAGTAAATACATGTAAGTAGAGTCTGTATTAAGTAAGTAAACGGTTTAATAACAGCTAGAGTTTCCACATTGAGGCTCTCCATCTGTTACTAACCAAAAAATAAGAATATGTATCAAATATTTGCAATACAAATATACAAAAAAGTTAACTTGATATCAGCTGATGCAGAACTGCTGTTAGAGTGCTCATAGCTGTTCAAGTGTTCAAGGACTAGAGCGAGAATGCCATTTCCAAAGTACAATGTTTTATCAACTGAAGATTTTTTTGACTAGGCATTTCATTACTACATAGTTTTGTACTACACTATGGTGTACACTTATACTCTTCAGATAACATAGCCTATATACAGGTTGTATGGCAGATTACAACAGTACGGTGATTATAACTGAAATTTTGAAATGTGGTTACTGTAGATATGTTGTGGTTCAATTTTATCCTTGGTTCAAATTTTCTTTTCTTTTGTTTCAAACTCTTTATTATAATTATTATTATCATACATTACCATACCCAAAAACAAACAAACAAACACAAAGTTTGAAC